TTATATTTCATTTTATTTTCATAATATTTTTAAATATATTTCAGAAGATTAATATTCTATTTTTGTTATAACATGTTTATATTTAATTTTTATATTTAAGAGATTTAAAATAAATAGAGTTTTGAAATATTAATATGTAAAAAAAGTTAATAAAAAAAAATATGTTATATATTTAATTATTTTTTCTTTTAATGAATAATGCTTATTATCATTTTGTATTACTATTTCAATTATAGAATCTGTGTTATGGCAAAATCGACTGTATAATGACTTTGAGAATTAAAGTTTTCTTTCTTTCTTCAGTATAAAAACAGGCTTGTGTCTTAACATTTTCAGCTGTAACATGCTTGCTTGCATATGTGTAGATTGTGCACGATCCCCAAAAGACAAGAGAAGCCGTGAGAGCAGAGATTCAGAACACAGGACCAACCATGATAGGAGTAGTGGAGAAGTAAGAATATTTTCAATAAAAATTTTAAAATGTATTAATTTAATTAATATAGTTGAAAATTAATTTTTTCTTTTTAATAAATTCAAATATTACAATAAAATTTCTAATCATATATTATTATAAATATAAATTAATAATTTAAAGTAATTAACAAATAAAATAATTTATTTGAATTAATTTATACTGTATTATTATGAATGTATTGAATTTTTTCCTAATTCTATTTTAAATATTTTTTTGTTCATTTTTTTTAATATTTATATTGTAAAACAATTTATACATAGTCATTCTTTTGAATATTCTTTGATAATTGATTTATGAATAATACAAATATTCTGGAAAATATATAATATTATATTTCATATTGTATAATATTTAAATCTTTTTTTATTGATTTTTATAGATTTTACATCCTATAAAATTATCATCAAATTCATCAAGAGAATCTTCATCTCAAAGAAAACCATCACATAATTCCTGTCAGGTCAGTATAAAATGTACTTCATATAATTATTACAAAAAAAAATATATTTATAAAAACATAAAAAATAATTAAAATACATTTGTAATATATTGACTGTCATAAAATTTGTGATAAGACAATTTTAAAATAAATTATATTATATAAGATTTTATTTTCATGAACAGCTTAGAAATTTCATTTAAAATATATAAAATATACATACTTTTTTTATTTTTATTTTATTAATAAATTTTTAAATAATTAATTCATGATTTTTTTTAAATTAATTATTAAATTTATTTTATGATTAAATCTTAAATATGACTTTATTATAGCTAAAGATATCTTATAGATATCTTAATATTTTTCAAATTGGTAATTATGAAAATATATTAAGAATATGTTTGTAAATATTTTTGCAAATATGATTATAAATATCAATAAAAATTCATTTTGTCTATAGTTAAATAAAGCGAACAATGATAAAACTATGTATAATCAATGAAATTTATAAGTCGTTTTTAAATAAAATCTCATATGAAAATGTATTTTAAAATTACTTTTGTGAGGAAATATCTAATTATCACGAAATTTTTTGTTTCTTAAATGTTTCATATACATTATAATTAAATTAATATAATAAATAAGGATTTTAATAATAATTAGCATTTAAGCGATATATATCATTTTGAAAATTAAAAAATTGTCAAATATCGAGATTTGATAGGTGTACGTGGAGTCAACAACGTGGACAAATGTAATTTCAACTTTTCGAACAAGTTTTGGAATTTTTATAAATATTTTCCATCGATTCAATCGTTTCCGGAAATTTTAGAACAGTATGTTTAGGACAAACGTGGTGATGAGCGAGGAGGTGCAATGGAACGTTCGGCCAGGTTTGGTGATTGGTCAGAACACATGAGCTCTTCAGGCAAGAAGTATTATTACAACTGTAAAACAGAAGTTTCTCAGTGGGAAAAACCACGGGAATGGATTAGTCGAACAGAAAATCGACAACGTCAGTCCAATGATTATTCTTCTAGGTCAAGTACGTCTAACAATATATTATTAAATAACTTTTTTAAATTCTTTACTTATTGCTAATATTATTTTTTTTACAAAAATATAATTTTTTTTCTATTTTAATAATTACAATTTGTTGCTGCTTTATTATCAATATCAATTTTTTGCAAATCAATTTAAATAGTCCTTAATAAATTATTTTGATTTTAATATAAATGAAGAAATTAAAATAAATGTAAAAATATAAATAATATTTTATCCATTTAATATTATATTTATATATCAAATA